TTTTGGAACATGTAGGGAACTTAGATCATCGATCCGAACAAATAATATTTAACAAACTTGGAATCATAAAAGAAGCCTTGGGAGAAATCGTGTTAGCGACAGAATTAGCAAAAAATGGAATTGTCAACACAAATCTTCTTAGCAGGATTGAAATCCAAAAAATACTGAAGGAGATCGATACACTACCCTACGTCAACGAAATTGAGGCAATAGAATACGCAAAACCACAGGTAGTAACCAATGGACGAGAAATTCTCTACATATTATCAATACCGAAGACAGGCAACCAGTACTATGACCACATTATAGCGAGATCAACAATCCGAAACTCCCAACAAGTCTACCTCGAATATCAGGAACTTCTCGTGAAAGATGACGTATATGGCATATCGACAAAATGCGAGAATTTAAGAAACATCACCATATGCGAAAGAAGTAAAATTCGAAAACTGGACGAAGGACACTGTATGTATCAACTGCTAAAGGGAATAAACGCCAGTTGCAGCCTTCAATACAATAAGGAAGAAATCATAGAAACCATAAGTGAAAATATCATCTTTCTCAATAATTTCAATGGGGAGCTAACAAGTGGCAACACGAGCAAACACTTAACTGGAAGCTTTATGATACAGCATACCAACGAAACCGTTCACATAAAAGGTCAGAAATTTACAAGCGAATCTGCCACCACGTCGCAAGTTTTACCACCTGTTCTTCAAGAAAATTTAAAAGAAGGAGATATCAAGCTAAGCCTCGACTACATTCACGATCTTCATATCAGCAACACAAAACAACTTCAGAAGCTAATACCAAGGAGCCAACTCTCTATAGCATCCGATATTACTATAGGACTCGTCATCATTGCAGTCATCATCATTTGGGTCATCAAGAAAAACATCAGCAAGGTTGTGAGGAAACGCACTCCAACAGTGGTTCCTACTATAGAGATTCCGCAAATTTCAGTCATAGAAGCACCAAAATTCCAGCTTGATCTACGGGACGCAGATCTTTGAAGGGGGAGGAGTTATCACCGTCTTTAGTTACATATTCAAGTGGTATCAAATTACATCTTCAGTACGATACTAATTTCTGTTCACATGAAAATTGCTGACACAGCGTCTGCAATCGAACATGTTTAAACATGAAGAAATTACGAAATTATCGTTCCCATCAAAAATGCTGACGAAACGTCTATAATTTTGCACGAGGCCGGAAATGAACTTAATTTTAATTACTATAAATACTGTTAGATTTTAAGATATGATTTAGTCTAAAATTGGTGTTAATAAGAATAGAATATTATAATTAAACTATCAATTCGAATTTAAGTAATTGTAAAATTTAATTTTTAAGTAATAGTTGTGACATTGTGTGAAATAAAATTATTTTTTTATAATCGAATCAAGATAGTTTAATAACTTATATTTACTATTTTGTAGTGTTTTTATTATTGTTTTTATTTCTCTCAGCATGCTATTGTCTGTTTTTGGATTATATGATTTTATTGCCTGTAAGGCTGCTTGAGAGTCTGATAGTATGACTATTTGTTGGTCCTTTATTCTTCTTCCTAATATTTGTTTGAGTGCACATTCAATCGCTGCTAACTCGCCTTCAAATACCGTGGTGTTATCTGGTAATTTGAAATAGTGATTGAAATATGCACTATGTACACCAGCTCCAGCTCCGTCATATTGTTTGAGCAGGGATCCATCAGTGTATACATGAAACCATTTGTCCTTTGGGTATTTTATATTAATGGTTTCCAAGGCTATTTGTCTAATAACTTCATTGTTGTTTGCTGTTTTTTTTATGTGTTTATTTAAATTTAATTCTACATCTACGTCTATGTATTCTAGTGGATCTTGAGGTGATAGATTTCGTTCCAATTTAGGAATTGGGCCCATTTTGTTAATAATTTCTTCCGTTTTTTGCTTGAAACTTGGTTGTGATTTCAGCTTGATTTCATGTTGTTTTTTTAAAAACCATGTGTGTTGTGATGGCGCGCTTCTAATTTTTTCATATAAATGTGTGGATCTGATGTCTATATCGGTTGCAATTGGGTTGTTGTTGGTGAAACTTCTCATGGCTTGTACTGGTGTTGTTTTTACTGCTCCTGTAATCAGGCGCAGGGCATTATTTTGGCAGGTTTCTAGTTTATTTTTCTTATTGTCTGCAATTCCAGTTAGAAGTTCAGCACCATAATTGATAACTGGTCTTATGTATGTTTTATATGTTCTATTTAGTAAGTCAGTTGTGCCCCCCCATTTACAGCCTGCTAATCTTTTTAGTATAGTTAATTTTTTGCTTGCCTTTTTTGTTGTGTTGTTAATGTGCTCGCCCATATTTAATTTAGAGTCTAATGTAATTCCCAGATATGTTGTGCTTGTTGTTCTTTTTATACTATCGTTTTTAATTCGTACGTTTATATCTGGCATTGTATGCTTTAATGTAAAAAATTGGTAAGTAGTTTTATTTGTATTAATCGTCATATTGTTTTCTTCTGACCATTCGACTAGTTTTTTTAGAGCTGGTGTCATTTTTTCCTCCAATAATTTTGCTGTGTTCTTTTTGTTATTTGCGCTAGTCCATAAAACTACGTCGTCTGCGTACATGCCTATAGATATATCAGAGTTTTTGTAATTTTTTACTAAGTCGTTGATATATATATTGAATAAGATTGGACTCAGCACGCAACCCTGTGGTAGTCCTACTTTGGTCTGCTTCCAGTTGGATCTTTTATTGTTCCACTTAGCTGAAATCCATCTCTGGTTGACAAAATTTCTGATGAATTTTAAAAATTTTCCATCTATATTCATCACTCTGAGTTTTTTAAAAAGATTTTCTCTCCATACCGTGTCGAAAGCACCTTTGAAATCTATAAATACTGCTAATGTGCTCTGATTGTTATTAAATGATGCTACTATGTGTTCTTTAAGGCGCAAAGCTTGGTGTATGGTTGAGAAGTTTGCACGAAACCCAGCTTGTTCATATGCTATTAATTGCTGTTTTTCAAGGTAGCTATTTAATCTATTAGCCATAATTTTTTCCATTATTTTTGCTAAGATGGAAGTGAGCGAGATGGGTCTGTAGCTACTTATATCAGAACTGCTTTTTCCCGGTTTTTTTATTGGGATAATAAAGGCTTTTTTCCACATTGCAGGAAATTCGTCTTCCTCATTCCATACTCGATTTAAAGATGTTAACAATATTTTCCTGTTGTTATCATTTATGTTTTTTACCATTTCTGGAAATATGCAATCTGGTCCGGGTTGTTTTTTATTTTTTAGCCAGTGAATAGCTACATTTAGTTCACTTATGTTGATGTCTGAGTTAAATAATCTATTATTACTTATGCTTTTGTATAGTTGTTTATTAATTTTTTTATTTTCTGCTTTTAGTTGTTTTGCTAGTTTGTGTTCATTTTTGTAGTATTTTGCGAATGAGTTGGCTATTTCTTTGTCGTCTGTTATTGTTTTATTATTATGTACAAAGATGTTTTGACAGTTTGTTTCTGATGTTGAATTTTGTTTATTTAGTTTGTTTATGTAATTATATACTTTTGTGCTATTGGTTCTGTAGTCCAAATTTGTGATGTAGCTGGTGAAATTGTCCCTTTTTGCTTTTTGTATTTCTCTTTTTAGTTCTGCGTCAAGTTTTCTCCAATTTTTGAGTGTTGTTGGGTTTTTATATTTTTCTGCTGAGTTTCTTTCTTTGTTACGTTTATTTTTTAATATATCAAGTTTTTTATTCCAAAAAGGCCTATAGTGTTTTATTCTACCTCTGGGTATCGATTGTTTTGCCGCTATGTTCATTATTTCTCCGAATTCTTTTATTGTGACCTGGTTGTGCATGTTTATCTTATTCAGCTCTCGGTGAAGAACATTGTTGTACTTCTCCCAGTTGGCCTTTTTGAAATTCCAAGATTTTTTATTTTTTGTTTTCGCTGTTTTTGTTTTATTTATGCAAATGCTGGTTTCGATCATTCTATGTCCACTACCCCCGTCCTCCACGACTTTCTTTTCTGCTGATTGTGCTAAATCCGATGTAATCATGATTAGGTCCGGGTTGGTAGAGTGACCTGTGTAATGAATGTATGTTCTGGGCTCGTTTTCTTTATACATTAACTCATAGGTGGTGGTGTTAATAAAATCTTCTATAACCTTTCCTGCTCCGTTTTTGTTTAGATATCCCCATGTCGGTGAGTGTCCATTGAAATCACCTGTTATGATTGATTTATTTTCCTCGATGGCGAAGTCTAAGTTGAGGTTATGATTGGGTGGCGCGTTGTACACACTATAATAACTATATTTTTGTTTGTTGATCCACACATTTATTTTTGCGACTTCTGAGATGTTATCCGAGTCCATAGTTTTTATTATTTTAAAATTTGCTGACATGTTTGATTTAACTCCTATCAGTATACCACTTGCTACTAGTCTGCTTTTACATAAATTGTATGTTTCATAATTTTTGAATTTGTAGTATTTTTTTGTTTCTTCTGTAATATTTGATTCAACTATGCTGAATATATCTATATCGTTTTCGTATATATATTTTTCTATTATTTTCTTTTTTGGTTGTGATAAACCTCCCGCGTTCCAGTGTAAAGTTTTAAAATATTCTATTTTTCTTGTTTTCATATGCAAATATACATATGTACATATGTCAAATATACATATGTGCGCATAAGGCGTATGTGTGTTTTGGGTTATGTTTCAGTCTTAATAAAGACTTTTTATTTATTTTTTATTGCTTTTGTAAATTTTTGTAGCTTTTATTTCGATTTAGTATTTCAGTATTTCAGCGTTGCATGACATCTACTTTACTTTCTTGCTCACTCCATAAAATGTAGTTCATTTTGTTTTAGACGGGGTGCACCACGAGGAGGCGAACTACTTTACACCCCTTTTTTTTTTTTTTTTTTTTTTTACAATAAACATTATTATACTTATTTACAATTTTAAATATAAAAAATAATTAACAAAAATTAATTATAATATTTAAAGACTAACTGCATACCATTTATAATCTTCTATTAATCTTTCATTTTTAATACAATCCTCTAGCCATTTATGAGTCAAATGTCTACTACTTGGATTATATAATTTCCTTAAAATAAAAATTTATTGAATTATATAATATTATTTGAAATTTTAAACTTACCTGGCCTCAATTAATTTTTTACAATCAATTGAATCATTTGAGTGTAGAATAAATTTCGCTCCCTTACTGTGATCTAAAACTGTTCCTCCGAACTTCTTAAACAAATCAATTTCAGTCTTTTTAATTAAATTCTCAGTTTCGGATTTTAAATATATACTAATTTTATTAAATATTTTGTTCACTTTTTCTTGTTTTATCTCTTTAGATTCAGGAGTTTTTTCAGTTTTTATTTTTTGTTTTTTATTTATAATTGGACTATTTGTTTCATCAATTACTTCACTTTTACGTTTTTTAATTAATTTTTCATCTTTTATTTCTTTTTCAATTTTATCAGCACTTAATAATTTCATATCATTGTTATCATCTTTTTCTTCCTTTTTTATACTATCAATATCTAATAATTTAATATTCTTTTTATCATCTATAGAGCTATCGTTATCATTACTGCTATCGTCTTTTCCTGCATCATATAATTTTGTTTTAATAAATAATTCAATTTTACTACTGCTATCATCATTATCACTGCAATTCTTTAAGCCTTTAAATAACATATCAACATTAATATTTTCTCTAGAATTTTCATATAAAACATGTAATTCTTGAACATTAGTTGCCTCTTTAGGCGATTTATCATCCCGAATTTTCGTTATACGAGGAAATCTTATTGATATCCCATTAGCGGTATGTACTTCTGATTTTGTAAATTCAGCACCAGTAATTTCCCAAACAGGCATATCAAATGGATTTTTTGCAATAAAATCTGGTATTAATTGTTTAGAAACATTAAGCCATTTTGGTAAACTTTTAGTATTACAACGTTCCAATAATGTATTCAATTCATTTTGTAATGATTCCATTGTTGAATCATCTAAACCAGAATGAACTTTTGTTACAGTTCCCCATAATTTTGTATTTTTATCGTATGATCCCATTAAGAATATACTTAACATTCCTCCTTTTTTACCAGTACCAAACCAAGCACCTAATACAACTAAATCAGCTGAATCAGCCATTTGACCTTGAAATAAATAATCCTTTTTAATTTTTAACCAACCTCGTTTACCCGGTTGATATAAACTATTTACATTTTTTAATACTAGACCTTCCAATCCAGCTTTTAAAACCTACATTTTTAAAAAAAAATTAATTATTATTTTAATCAATACTAAAATTTTGATATGAATAATTTACCTTTGCTGTCATAGTTGCTAATTCCATCGTATTCTTGATGATATAATATTCAGAAAGTTGAACATGATTTTTTATTGGCTTAATATTGTTTTCTAAAATCTTTTTTCGTTCTTTTATAGTCCTTTAAGATTAAAAAAAAAATGTGTTATAAAAAAATTAGTTAAAACTAAATACAAAATACTTAATCAAAATATTTAACCTAATAAAAGGTCTTTTTGAAAATGAAAAATTTATGTAAAAATAAATCCCAAAAGTGATCATATAAAAAAGAGAAAATCAAATTCTTGCAACTTGTAAATGACTTAAAAAATAGTAAACTTCTCTATTCAAATCTAATCGTTTCGTTTAAATTTTTTTTCTGTATCCAAAATATTTAATAAATACTACTTTTAAATTTTCTTTTGATTCCACCTTTTCTTCCCATTGAAAGAATCTAAGAAAAAACTATTTAACTTGCGAATTTTAATTTGTTCTTCTTCAAGATACAAAATGTGTAATGCCCTTAGGAAATGAATAGATTGCACACGTAAGGTTTAAACCTTAAAATAAAATTTTCCTTCCTACTCTTCACTTTAATTTTCATTCTTATAGGTATTTCATCTATGAATATTTATGTAAAGGTACATAATATACAAAATGAATATTTATTGTAAAATTCAAATTACCTTTTAGTTAAATCCTCGCCATTGAAATAAATACAATCAAATACAAATAAGCATACTTCTGAATTAGCAAACTGCTCTTTTTTATGTACACCAAGTGTTCCAAATGGTAAAAGTTCACCAGTTTTCGTATTTACAACAAGAATTTCCGAATCTAGTATCATATCATTACCACTTGGAAATGCCTTAAATTAAATTTTAATAAAACATTTGATTAAAAGTTAATAAAAAAAATTAATTTTAAAAATTTATTTTTAAAAGTTGATTTGATTGTGAAATAAAAAATAAGTTGATAATTTGCTTATTTAGCTTAAAGTAAACTATTTTAAATTCAAATAAGCGTGTTTATAACAAATTATAGTAAATTATCTTCATAGAAACACTTTTGAAACCGAAATTGTAAAATGCGACGATCTTCTCATTTTAATTTGAAAATTTGTTCTACATATTTTGGCATCAAAAATTCGTTACTTACATACATACATGATATAAAAGTATTTTTTAGTACGTTCGAACAAAAGCATTTTTTTTTTATACATATGGAACGTTATATTTTTGTATTTACCTTTGGAATGTATTCCTTACACCGAGCTATTTTGTGGTCCAACACCGGCTTTAAATTTCTAGTGTAAAATCTAAAAAAGAATAGCATTTGAATTTTGTTTTAATATTATGTGATGTCATAATATAGTATGTATATTTATTGTATTGTATGGTGCCAAATATACTGTTTGTACATATTGTAAAAAAATATACTTTTAAAATTTTAAACGATTTCGCAACTTGTGCGATCAAATTACATATTTTGAACAGATTATGAGCATAGCTCTTATAGTGAAAAATAAAATTTCTGTAGGAAAATAAATTCTAAATCCTTAAGATGAATAACGAGAAATTTTGTTGCACGAAAAAACTGCAAACAAGTTAACATAAAACTTTTTATGAAAATACTCAGTAATGTAAAGATAAGTATGTAAATGAAAAATATTAACATACCTATTAAAATATTTAACATGTGTATAAATATTGAGTAATAGTATTTCTATGATCTCACCTGAATTCTGTGCCACTTTTATGTATTTGAACACGTTCACCATCATATTTTATTTCACTAAACATTCCTTCTGGATTTTTTTCGATTGCTCTTTCAACAGATTTACATGCTTCTGCTAACATTGGACTTATTGGAGACATTAATGTAACATGCCCACTACTACTTTTTCCTGCAGTTCCACTTAAACCTTGAACATCCTGTTAAGTTTAAAATGACACAAATTTAAATATTCTTTCTATATACTACCAAAAATTCATTTACCTTGCATGTAATTTTATTTTTTGAAATCGATGGAGCATATTTATCTACAACCGTTTTTAGATCTCGTGATAATTGATATGTCTGATAAGCATCTGAATGAAGAGCATCTAAAATATGTCTTGGACCAGCGTTTATTCTTAAATCGTGTTTTATAAGACGAATAACCTACAATATTGAAAAATTTTACAATTATATATTAATATTATTATTGTAATTAAGTATACCTACCATCTTTAAGTCATTAATAGTAGCTCTCCTACAAAATATAGAAAATAGTTCAATTTGATCATCTTCTTTTGTAATTTCACTAAGTTCATCTAAAAATTTATCAACGTCTTGCAAAGTAAGTGAACTTGATTTTTTTGGAATAATTTTTTCGGATAATTCAAAATATTTTTTTAAAGTTTCTGAAACATCACCTAAAATAGAAAATAAAAAGCAAATTTATATTAATTTCCCTTTAAAAACAAGGTTAGTAAGGTAATCAAATTTTCTATTTTCCAATTTTTACCATTTTCCAAATCTGTTAGCATATCTTTTTGATTTGCACGAAAAATTTTTGAAAATAATTTTATTAATTGTTTACTCTGCAAATTATAAACTCGGCGCACGGCTGATGGAAGCAATAATTTCATCCATAAATAAATATCTCCTTCAAATGTCTTGTTATTTGATCCCTAAATTGTTTTTTAATATTTTATAGGTTGTAGCAAAGAAATAACTAAATAATTTGATAAATGAACGTACCTTTATCAAAAAGTTTTGTAAAATTTCAGATTTCTTGTTGTAACTACTTTCCTTTGCAATTTTTTCACATAGATTTTGAAAAACCTGAAAACTATTATCTTCACTATCCTCTTTAAAGGCTTTATCTTTACTCGTTGAAGAAGTCTCCTTAGTTTGAAATGCCTTGGAAGTAGTTGGTTTTAATTTGTCGGTTTTCTAAAAAAAACAAAAATTACTTTTATGCATCCATAATTTTTTTATAAAATAATAATACTTTTTCTTTAGGTAAGGCACCAGAAAAAGAATTTATCTTTTCTATAATAATATCTTTATGCTCCTCACTCAATTCATCCCATCCATCTATATCATCTATACAATCGATTTTTTTGGTCGTTGCTCTGGCTTTTTTGAAACTTTCGAATAAACAATTTGTATGATACCATTGCTTTACTAACCCTTCACTAAAAATAGAAAATAAAATTATATTTGTTATTGTGTCTAATTTTATTAAAAGATATTCTTACTCAGAAAAAAAGTTAGGAACCAATTTTGCTATTCTAAGCTCGCCACTTTCACAATTTTCTTTACACTTTTTACATTTTGCCCTACCAGTTTTAGCTTTTTCAGCAAAAAATAACTTTTTATTTGTATCATCCATTTCTTAACAAAAAAAAAAACTTTTAAAAAATATTTCACAATTTCAAAACACAACCACGTAATCTAAGATTTGTGTTTCTAGTGTCTGATACCAATAGACTACAGATGTTTTTATGGTAAATCGCCGGCACCAAAAAATTTTTTTTATTTTGTTATTTAATGTTTTTTTCATAATTTTGATGACATTCTGCTGCTGTCAGAATTCCATCACAATGAATAGCAAAGCCCCAAACCTGTCGCCATTAGCTAAAAAATTAATTTTTGAAATTGTCACCACCAGGAACGAAAAAATTTCATTTTTCTTTAAAAAAGCTGCCAGATGCAAAAAACTATTGGAAAAATGATTTTAAAAAAAAACTTAGTCTTTCTTTAACGTAATTTATTATTGTTAATCTAAATTTAATTTCGTTAATTTTCTTATTCTAATGTTCATAAATATGTTGGTATACTTTTTCTCTGTTAATATAATCTTCCTTCAGTTTCTTCAAGGAAAAGCACCGATTAGTGTATTTCTTTTTATATTTTCGATATATTTCAAAATCGAAAATTTTCGTGTAGGTAGTTTTTTCCTAAACCTTTTTTCGAGAATTGAAAGCTTTTTTTATTATAGATTACAAACTCGTCAAATAGAAAATTTTGTAATAGGAAAATACGCAATATTAATTACAACCATGTGTAAACCACATTTTTAAAATAAAATTTTGAGAATCGATTCTCTCAAATTATCTATAAGAGAGCTTTACTCTTTCATTCAAAGCTTTTTTATATAACTCGGATATAACTGAGAAAATCAGTAACGGTAAGAAAGGTTCCTGTTTAAACTAAATATTACAATAAACAATTACACAATATTTCTACTAGATCCTAAGCATAAATTAAATAAACTTATCACTTTTATAATTTTTAATGGAACTTAATATATCAATAATAACCAACATTTTCGTTACAGGCTCAAATTGCGATATAGTGTTTCATTCTTCTAAATCAAAAAATGGAACATTTACAACACCATTATTTCCAAAATCATATCCAGCGAGGACATTTTGTAGAATTGAATTTATTGGACAAGGAAAAGAACGTATTCAAGTAGATATAAAAAACAAAATAATTTGGATATAGTTTTTTAAATTAATATATTATTTTAACTTTTATTTTTAGATAAGTTTTCCTGAGTTCAGCTTACCATCAGATGATGACAATTATAATTGCCAGGACTCCGATAATTTACAAGTACTAGTTCCAATAAGGCATCGTTATGAACCAATAGAAATTTTATGTGGTGATTTTATGCCAAAACCAATAATGTCAGATGGATCAAAAATGCTATTAGAGTTTCGGGGAAGAAAAAGTGGAAAAGGAAATCGAGGATTCAGAGGAGAATACAAATTTTTAGAAAGTAAGTAAATGAAATATGAATTTAAGATGTTAATTTGAATTGACGTAGCTTTTTCGTATCGTTATTAACTTGAGTATTTAATATAGATTATGGTATTATAACTGGAAAACAATTACCTACTGGAGATTGTGCGTTTGCTTATAATGTTTCAGATGGCCGTGATGGATGGTTCCAGTAAGTAATTATATAATTCATAAATTGTTTATAATTTGAAATATCAATATATTTTTAGTTCACCAAATTTTCCTGGAGCTTACCCACGAAATATTGAGTGCAATTATTACTTTTATGGTGGTCAATATGATAAAATTCATATAAGATTTTCTTACTTTGATGTTGAAGGAGTTTATCCGTAAATATTATACAATCATTTGCTACAATTATTTTTATACTTTTGTTTACTATTAAATTGACTATATTAATTTTATTTTATATAATTAACTGTTATAGATGCGATGAGGAATCTGCTAGTGATTATGTTGAATTTTCAAATTTTATGAGTGAAGATCGCAAATTCATAAAATATTGTGGAAAGTATCAAAGTTTCAGTGTTAGATCTGATGGAAAATTTTTCCGAATAACATTTAGAACAAATGATCGGTTCGATAAAACTGGATTTCGTGCTCATTATGAATTTGTTGCGTATATGCCACCAACTGAAAACCCGAATAATCAAAAAAAGATTCAAAAACCAATTTCAGGAAAAGCTTGTGGTAACATTTAAAATTACCATAATATTTCATTTATCTAACCATATAAATATTATGCTGATAAAATTTTTATATAATAATTTTTTTTTTATTTTAGGCGCTGAGATCAACATTATCATCTTTATTATAGTTTACACTCTTCAAAGCTTAATTAAAGTTATTGAAATTTCATAGCTTTTGAATTTAAAATAAAGAGTTAATATTGTCTTTTAGTATACAAATGTACATTGTTTGTTAATTAAAAATTATTTTCATTTAATTTATTTTTTTTTCTATTATATTTAATGTATACATTCTTATTTTTACTTTACAATAGAAAATCTAGATAATTAATAAATATTATTAAAGTAAAAATACAAAAAATAATCATAAGATTTTAAAATAAAAATGTGATTTTTAATTATTTGTTTAAAAATTACTCTAAAATTTTACAGGTATTCTGAAATATTTGATAATAAATAATAATTTTGTAACATCATAACGTCAAATTACAAAGCTTATACGAACATTAGGTCACATATTATAAAAATTAAATTTATTTTGGACAGTCAAAGAAACACAATCACCCTTAATTCTGTTCAATATTATTATTGATATCAGCAAATTTAAATTGTAATAAAACTATAACATTAGTAAAATTTGAAATAAGTATTTGAAATATTAAACGATTATTTAATGCGAACATTTTAAAACAATAAAACTTTGTATTTTTAAATGAACTTCTCAAGAGAAATAGGTCTGTCTGCAAAGAAAAATAAATAAATTAATATATTATTACTACTGTACCATTTTTGTAAAAATATATTTTAGGTACTTACATTAGTTTCATTATAGCAGCTTATGAATCGAATAATTAAATTTTTAATAATATTACTAATTTCAATAATTTTATCGTAAACAATTAAAAAATATATTATATCCCAACATAATTTTAAATGATTCAATATACCCCATATTAAAAATTCTTTCTTAAATATAATATGTTGTATTACCCTGTATAGAGACATTGTTATTACAAAAAATAAATATCCGAACGTAAAAAATAATGGCCATCGAAAAATATTATTAAATAATCTTAATATATTTAAACATTTCCAATAAAGTGAAATCATTTCTCGAAATTTTTGACTTTGTTGTCCATTATTGTGCTCAGGTGTTGCGAATTCTAGTTCGAATATTAAACGAAAAAGAAAAATAAATTATAATGTATGTAATGAAATTCACTACATATAATTATTATACATAAATAAAAATTCTAATATAAAATGAAATAAATTTGTATTCTTAATCTGATGAGCGTATGGGAAGTAAATTATTACATAACTATATACATAATAATAAAATCCCATACACATAATGCATTTTAGATAATACAACAAAAGTTAATTCATGACTGAAATTAAAACTTAATAAACTGGGCAAAATTCTATATAAAATTTGTAAATGTTCTTAATCCCGGAGATGCCTGGATAAAGAAAACTAAAAAAGTACAAAGTATTGTAATTTTTTTGATTTATGAATGCTTGTGTTTTCGAAAATATGTACGTCAAAAAAAAAGTAATATAAAAAAGTAATAAAGCATTGAGCCCTTTATTAGCCCTTTCAAAAACTGTTTGCTTTAAGCTTCTTTTTATTTACTGAACTGCAGTTATATGCAAAAAAAAACTTAGGCACGTAGAAATTTCATAAAAATTTGTTAAAATTTCTGTATCACAGAAACTTGAAATTTGACACTCACTCCTGAATGAAAACTTTACCCATTTTTGATTCTTTAATTCTAGTCATTGTTAAATATTGCTATACATCCTTCTTAATCACTCTACATAACCATTAATGTTTTAGTATGCTAAGGATAGAACAACTTTCCCACTACTTTTAAGATATTCGCCTTAATTGTATATTGGCATTATTGGAAGTAAATGGTAAGTACCTTTAGTTTCATACCATTTTGAACATTCAACATACATTGTGAATGTTATTATGTACGTATAACAAAATTTTGTTGTACATGCTTTCATTTTTTATCATTTTTAACTTAATAGTTTTATAACAACTAAAAATAATGCACGAATAAAAGTGAAAATTTATGAATTTTTATTTAATAATTTGTTATTGACATCTTAGGGATATACATGCATCTAAGAGGCATATTTATATTTTAATAACTAAAATCAGGAAATATAAAAATTGGAAGGAAAGAAGAGGAACTGTTACAAAAGAAACCATTATTTATGTTAATATATTTACCATTCAAATGGTCCAAATGTGATTTAATTGCTTGCATAATTCTTTCTAAATAATTTGTTATAGCTAATGAAATAAGATAGTAAAATGAAATGTAATAAACATGAATCAAATAAATGTACATTACATGAATCCAACACATAAAATATTTATAATTTTCTTTCAATTTCTCAATATGATTTCCAAATAATGGTAAATCAATGAGAATTTCATAAAAAATAATTATAAATTTTATAATTAAAAAATATAAAAATGTTTTTGTTAAAACTTTTGTAAATTTTTTACTTAAAACTTTATGAATTTTTATCAACGTATTCATCAATTTCACCATTCTACTTCCATATTTAACCCATGAAATGTAGCAGCAAATAGATGCTAAAATTTGTGCAATAAACATAAGATTAAAAGCAGTATCATAATACAAATCACCACCAATATAAAAGAAGAATTGTACTTGAGGATAAGTTATTGGTATTAAAATTATTAATATAAAATTAAAAAATTTCCAAAATTTTGCTGAAGATTTTGAATATTTTAAATGAATTTTTGTTTTATCAAAACGAAATATACCAAATCCGAATAGTATACCATAAATGTAAAGAAAATATAATAATAAATATGGTAATTTATATTTTAAAATCATTTTTTCTCTATTTAAATGAAAACTAAACTTATGTACAAATACATGTAAATAATATGTAATTCACTTAAATTAATTAATGAAAAGAAAAAAGTCATAATTTAATTTTTATTAGTTGCATTAACCCCAAAAACAAAAGTATTTTCTGTTTATTTAAAAATTTTGCGTTCCCATAATAAACACCGTAATATTTACTAATATTACTATTTACTAAAAATTATTATTGTTATTTAGTTACTATGAATTTAAATATTATTATTTACTTCCACGCACTGTTTGTGACATATGCTCCGAACTGTATTAAATATTCACAGGTCTATTTAAGTAATTGATTTCTTCACAATTTAATTAAGTTAATTTGAAAAATTGCTTTTTAATGGAGAAAAAAATCGTTATTGTAGACACATTTTGTATGTCCTATAATAATTTAAATAACACTTTAGTTTAAGCCCGTATACTTACCTACTTTTTCGATAAAGCTTCTTTATTAATTATATTAATATATAAAATTTAAAATTTACAATTAATAATCATGTGTGCACATTCTATAATCTATATAAAATGTGTTTAGGCAAATATTTGGGTACCTTATGCTCAATTATTTACTTGAAGTGTATTGACTGTTCATCGTTGTTAAAATATCTAAATGTACATTTAAGTGTAATCCAAGAAGTATTTTGTAACACAAGAATAGCGAATTTTAAATTATTACACATTCTACATGTATATTAAACATGTAGAATTAGAATATCCCTTTGAAAAAATATCAATCACATTTATTCCGTAATAATACGCAACATAATTATTTACATTAATATATTATTTATAGGAACATACCAATATTGTAAATAAAACAGATTCATTACAAAATACTTTACTTTTTTCAGTAAAAAAATTTACTTTAATAGTTTAAATTTTTTCACATATTTATGTACAGATTCTTTTGGGTATGGTTTAACAGCTATACAAGTTGGAATATTTTCTGGTTGTTCTATCCATAATTTATGTTTGATATCATTTTCTTCTAATAATTTGCGAAGATCTTGAATAGACTGTTGGTCTGGAGCCTAAAAATTTCAAATTATCATTAAATATTCATTAAACAATAAGAAAATATCTGACTTCTAAAATAACTTTGTGCATATTATCTATGTCATTAAAATATGCTTCAGTATCTTTATCTTCTCTAAATTGATGAGTTACGGCAGTAGTAGCATGACAGCACTAAAATATATAAGTATAATTAATTACTTATTATGTTATATTAATAATTTGGTTATTAAAAATTAGGTTAGTATCTATGTACATACTTGTGCAATGACTGCTCCAACCGGCCAATTCAGCACTTTTATTAAATCGCCACGAACTATAACGTATTGTACTATAGAGGACATTGAATCAGATAAAAATTTAATTTATTTAATATTAAATAAAATTATAGGATGTAGATTTTTTAGACAAAAAAGTAATCTACAAATTTTCCAAAAACTTTTAGGATGTTTTATATCTGAAAAAGGAATGAAAAATCAAAGGCTTGTTTTTGTTTATATTCAAACATTGACATAACAGCAATCTCGAGTCTCGATATTATATATTTGTTATGTCAAGATTCGAATTGTTTTTCGCATTAAGAAAATCATGATTTCAGGGTTGCCAAATAAATATTTATTTCTGTGAACAATTACATAAAATTTCATTAGTAGAAAATGACAAAATTTTTAAAATAATGTATAATTATGTACTTATTTGCTATTAAACAAGTTTTGATAACTGCAATAGTAACGCTCATCGTTCACAATAGATGGATATTTTTTATTTATCAATAAAAAGAAAAGTTTAAAGTAAATCATTTATTTTCCAATGTTATTTGTTTAATATTCCTGATCCATTCGGTAACTATACTCAACCACGCCTTCATACTTTTTTGGTGTTATTGGAACGCAACCAATATAATGCAAGGAGCAGGTTTTTATAATTATTTAAGTTAAATTGAAAACAGAACAAGAATGATATTTCTCGGCGAAATGTCAAAATTTATATAGAATACACATACATATACAAATGGGACTATCCAGAAAGAAGCAAAATTGTCTTCGTTAATTTAACCTACAGCGACAAAATAGCCGAATATCCTATTTTTTCGGTTTTTTCAAAATCATCTGTTTCCATATGTGTATAACATTATATGCAAAATACTGAACAGTTGATTTTGCGCTTGACGGTCATTTCCCACAAAAATACCACTCAATTCAATAAAATTAAATGGCTTTAATGGTATTTTTGTGGGAAGTGACTGTCAAGCAATATTGCCGTTTCGTTGTTGTTTTGTTCTGTTCCTCGGTTTTGGTTTTGCTTTTACAATTAATGAGCAATATAATATTAATAATCTATTTTATAGTACATTTTTCAAGTTGAATTTACGACAAAAAATTTGGATGCGAACTTAGATAAATGTACATACTTTAAATTTGATAAAATAAAGTTTTGACTATTTAAAATTTTTTAAAGGTAATTTTTAACCAGTTAATTCTTACATAATGCCATCTATTGAGTAAATTTAACAAAAATGTTTTGAATTAAGAATTATTTACATAACGGTAAAATTAAAGCCATCTATTATCAAAATATATAAAAAACATCATTTTGTTCAATATTTAATTTTTCTCTTTTTTTGTTTTTTTTTTGTGCCTCAAATTATATTATATTTAATGAAGGTATACATAAACATTTCAAATTGTATCTTATTTCCCCGCTTTTTTTTTCTCTCTGTTTTCCTTTCAATCATATGATATTATGTATAATAATAAAATCTCTTTTAAATATGATAAAATAAGATGGATGTACTGTTAGTTTTTTGTTCTTTTTTCTGAATTCAGAGTAAAAAAAAAGGAAAAGTAAAAATTTTATTGCAAAAATATTGGAGAAAATAAATCAAGAATATTATTTAATAATATGAAGTATTGAAGCCGGTGTTCATGCACAGCAAAAAAAAAATTAAAAAAAAAACAAGAAAAAAATTCATAGCATACAAAATAAATAAAACGAGACAGCTAATAATGCCGGTACACAAAAAAATGTTTTATTTTTTTTCATAACTTTTATTTTTATAACCTTACTTACATTAAAATATCTTATAGGTTAAAACAGGATAACTACATCTACTCTATATGAATTTTCAATTATTTTATTTTATTTTTTTTTTTTTGTATATATTTTTGCAGATACATTTAATACATACATTCGTTTTCTCATACATTTTATATTGTGAGATATTCGAGAAACAAAAACAAAAATTATATTGTGTGTATATAAAATTACAATAGTATTCAAATATATATGATTTTTCTATTTAAAATTCTCAGTTGTTTCAAAGTGGTTGATACGTAAATGTCGTACATTATAAAAGTACATGTCGTATAAATACGGTGTGTGTGATTTTTTTTTTTCCATAATTTTTAATGAAGAAAAAACATAACTCTTATTATTCATTTTTAATTTAGTTTCTATTCTAGAAAAGAGAAAAAAATTAAATAAATAAATTTCAATTTAATATTTTCTGTTTCTCTTTTTTATTTTTATTAATTAAATATTTTATAACTAAGAATTAAAATTAATAAAAAAAAAAAGTTTATATTTACGGTTGGAAAATTATTAAAATGAGAAAATACATAAGAAGTTTTATAAAAATACAACAAAATTGAAAATAATTCATAATTTGTATACATAAGTATTTTAATATTATATATTATGAAAATGTTAAAACTAAATTCAAATAAATAAGAAATTAAAAAAAAAATTTCAATAAAAATAAAGCAAAAAAAAAAAAATTTTTTTTTATTAAAAAGAATGAATTAATGAAAAATAATAATAAAAATAATAAAAAACATTAAAAAAATAAATTCTCGTTAAAATATTAGATAATAGAATATAAATTTTATATAGAAAAATAAATAAAAGAAAAAAATCAAAAGAATATGTAAAAAAAAAAAAGTTCGGAAAGAAAAGGAGAAGAAAAGAGAAGGTATAAAGCGCTGAAATATAAGCAGCAAAAAAATGTGAAATTAATAAAAAAGATAAAAAAAAAAATAAAAGTTTGCAAAAAAACAAACAAAAATATTTTCTGTTTCTGTTCTGTTTTTTGTTATTTTTTCTCATATTTTCAATATCTTTAATTGTTTTGATCAAAAAAAAAAAAATCTCATTTCTTCTAAAGAAGCTTAATTAATGTTTTTGATAGTTTGTTTTTTTTTTTTCTACATAAAATAAAATTTAAAATGCAATTTAAAATATGAAAAATAAAAAAGGTTTAATATAAAAAAAAAATGAAATTAAATTATATTTGATAAAAATTTAAAATAAAAAAAAAAATATTCAGAAAACATAATATTATAAAAAAAAATCTAGGAAACAAAAAATTACGTAGGAATTTCTGAGTATGCGTATAAAAAAAAATCATGTACTACATATAAAATTTGTAAACAAAATATAAAGAGGCACAACAACAACAACAACAACAGCAACAACACAAATCAACAACAAACCTAAAAAAGAACAAGAGAAGAAAAATAAACAACAAAAAAAAAACCACCAACAACAATGCAACAACAACAAAATGTATGTATTTTTGCTTGGTTTTTTGAGAAAATATTGAGAGATACTTTTTTTTTGTTTCTGTTTTTTGTGTTATTATTATTGCAATTTGCAAATGTGAGTAAGTGAGATAAAAAAGGGAAATAAAGTATAGATAGAGAGAAGCAATTTATTTATTCTCTTTTTTCTACTTAGTGTCATTCATTTTTTTTTTTGCGAATTTGTGTTTCTCTTTTTAGTTTTTGTTTTTCTTTTTTTTATTTCATTTTCTATAATTTATTTATTATTATTGTTTTTTATTGAGAAAAAATGTCAAAAGCAAAAATATGTTTACATAAATGTGTTTGCGTGTATGTGTGTGTGTGTGTGTATATAAAAACAAACTTCTTTTCTTATACAATATAAATTTTATAGAAATGAAATAAAAAAAAAAATAAAATTTATGCAAAAAAAAAATAAAAAAAATATTGAATTGAAAAATAAAAATGAAAATAACATAGCTACATACAAATCTGTACATACATACATATGTACATATTTACGTATATATAACAAAAAATAGTGAAACAGAATCAAAAATGATTGAAAAACGGCAAAAGTACAAAAAAAAAAAATTAATTTTTTTATTCATTTTAATTTTAATTCATTCAAATTTTTCTTGTTTTGGTTTATTTTTTTTTTTTGTTAATATCAAAAATTTTAAAGGACAATCACTAAACATTAATAATAATTTGATGCATAAAGCACATGTGTGTTTGTGTTCATATATGTATGTTTTTACATATATAAATTGTTATGTTTTATTATTATTGAATCAAAGTATATGTACATTTGTATGTTAATAATATAGTAAACCAAAATATTTTTAATGGTAAATAAAATTTTTGTTTTCATTGATTATCAAAAATATTTTCATTCTTCCGGTTTAATTTTAATTTTTAAATTTATCTACATAATTTCTATGTATGTATACCTACTTAATAATAATATTATGTACTTAATCTGCTATACACTCCAAGTATAGGTTTTCTTGTTTTTCCAATGTTTGTTTATAATAATGTCCTACTTTAACCATATTGTACTTGCGTATTTTATATTTGTCTACATGCATATGTATGCATATACGAATGTACATATGTTACACTCAAAAAAAAAAATTTCATTGATAAAAAATATTTAAAGGATAATAATTTTTAAATTAAGGACAAAGTTCAAATCATATTAGAAATAATAATATGGCTGTAGGCTAGGTGGAATAAAAAAAAATTGTAGTAAAAATTTCAGATGAAAATTGTTATGTATTATGATTTATTTTTAATTTTATTTGGACATGTATGTAGAATACAATTAAGAGGTGAGAACCGAATGATTAGTGCCCCTTCTAAACTCACTAAAACACTATGTACCTTCTCAAATATTAATATAAGAAACTATTTTTATTTTAGAATATTTTCTAAATAATTTTTTAGTACAAAATAAAATTAAATTTTCAAATAAGTAAATTTAAAATGATTGCCAAAATTCGGTTTTTGTTCAGATTATGAGTAGTTTATCATTTAACGAGCAAATAATTTTGAAAAAAAATTAATAAGCAATCACAAAATTATCAAATTGCTCTTATGAATTTTCTAAATTATGTTTTAATTATATATTTTATAAGAAAATAAATTATCTAAATATAAGTATAGGCGCTCAGCGCATTAGTGATCTACTTGCAAAATTGACATTATATAAACTAAATATTTTGAAAATATAGAGCAATTCTTTAAGCCATTTCAGCTCTATTAAACAAAATAACTTATTTTTGGAAAAAATTTTGGATAGGCCACTAATGCGCCGATCGCCTCATATATGGAAGGGTATACTTATACAAATTTATAGCATATTTTCGCAACAAACAATATTTAAAGTTGGTTTACGTTCCTTTTTTGTAAAAAAACCTTAAATCATCTTGTTTTTTTTGATAACCTTAAAATTACATTTACTTATGACGAAAGTAAGATTTTTTAAAATGATTTTTTTATTGGTAAACATGGTTCATAGTATATATGAACCATGTTTTACATTTTTGGAGATATTTTTATTCTACTTTGACAATAAAAAAAATCTTCGAATGCAAAGATTATATTGAATTTTTGTTTTAAAATTTTGTTTTTTACTACAAATTCTGTATATTCTGTAGATTTCAAGGCAAACGGATGGGGGTAAGAGGACATTATCTTCCAAGCCATCATTGGAACCTACAGTAAGTCACCGCTATTTACGACTTACTATAGACTCCCACTTCCATATAGTACTCCTGTAACAAGTAAAAAACGGACGATATCCCAATAAGGAGATTAGTCAGCAGCTATTATCAAACAAATGTTATGAAAATACAATAAAAAAATTTTAATTTTTTAAGTTTTGTTGCTCATAATTGCATATTAATTATTTCAATATTAAATTTCTATAACACTTTTTGAAAAATCACATAAGTATGAAGCGGCAGATCAAAATTTCATGCATTCCTTTGTACAGGCCCTACGTATGTAAGTAAAAATTAATGGAATCTTATTTCTATTTAATGTACGAGTAATACGCTACTTTAATTATTTTTTTTTTATGTAATAAAATGGAGACTTATTGTCTGTTCGCGTATTTACATAAAAGTTTTGGCTAAATAAATTTTAATACCTGATTTACTTATTTTTTTTTCTAATATAAAAAACAATTTGTTTTCTTTTCAATTTTATTCCTTTTCTCTTTATTCTAATTTATTTGATTTTGTTTACAATGATTTTTTGTTTTTATTTTGGTATTTTTATTTTATTTTCCCTTTATAGTTGTTTTACGTATTACTTGTGTACGTACTGAGTTACGTATGTGTGATTGTATATTGTATAAGGAAAAGATATAAAATTCTCCCTTTATACATATGTACATACATATTATGTAAGTATAATTTCTATTTAATATTGAAAGTAAAAAGTTCAGGGTTATTTTATTGCAATACAAGATCGAGGGCCAACTAAATAATAAGTATAGTAATTGAACGTTGTTGTGCAAGTAAGAATGTACATATGTATGTATGTATTTATATATAATAAAGAAATTAATATTGTTCTTCCTTAAGTCTATTGTAATTTTTTTGTTTTTATATTTTGAAAAAGTTTCGATTATCAATCAATAAAGCTTAATTGTTTAAAATTTATATTTATTTAAAAATAAAAATAAATAATAATTGTTTCAATGTACACATATGTATATGCATGTGTATTACGCATTCAAGCGCATACTTACGTCCATCGTCCATCGGAATCGAAAAAATGAAAAAATGAAAAAATCAAGTACCTATAGTTTTCAATTTAATTTTCAGTTAAAATTGGTTATTCAGGAGTTTTACTCGTATCTATATTTATGGGTTCATTCTTTCTGTTATATTTATGGACCAGGACATTTATCCAATCACAACATACAATTTAACGTGCACTAGAAATGTAATACTTAACAACCAATTGGATATTTTGCCACTTGGGTAAATTTTCTAACAGAGAGTATTGTGTGTAATTGATGATAGTACATACTTAAGTACTAATAAATCAGTATTATAACAGAACAGAACATTACTTTAAGTCTGTATACTTAAGTACAAACAACTGCTTTTATGTTATTATAATAAATTATTATTACAATTATTTACGGAGAAAATACAAGACCTAAATTTGATAGAAATCGTGGTCTTTAGGAGCTTTAAAACTAAAACGATTGAAAAAAACTATCGGCAAAAAACGTCTTAAAATAGAATTTTTGTAAAGAATTCTTAACAGCAGAAACGATTAGTCAATAAGAGAACAGATAGTTCGAGTCTTATAAAGCCTTATAGAAGAAAGTTTGCGGACAATTATTGTTATGAATAATAATGTTCAAATACTTTTATGTAACATTATTTGTTAAACACAAATAAAATTAATACGCAGAAAACGCATACGCAAGATACGAGTACTTACATTCGTATGCACACATAATATGTAATGAATGACGCAAATGCTGTAACGAATTTATAACATTGTGAAAAATTAATTAATTCATAAATAATTAGAATTGTAGAAATTCGATCGCAATTTCTTTCCTTATATATGTAAGTATATTTATGGCTTTTGTGACTTTAAAATACTAAAAGTAAGGATTTCGGTATTAATTTCCGACCTCCTGTCTAAAGCCGAAATTTCATTGAATCATTTCATTTCTTATTTATTACTTTAAAATGATCACCAAACTGTTTGCTAGTTACAATAATTTAATAATAAAATAACAAAAAAATTTCTGTTATACACAATAAAGTATGTAAGAAAATTTTTATTAATTTATACGCAGACAATTTTATTTAATTTAAACAGCAATTCTATTGTTAGTTGACAACACTGTTAGTTTTAATTAGAAGTTTTAATTTTTTATAGCATAATCGATTAAAATTTTTTACTATTTTCAATTACATGTATTTACTGTTATACATGTGTATGTGTCGTATATTATTATATTGTAAAATAATTTTTAAATAAGTATATATAAGTGTATATGTATATGTATATAATTTCATATAATTAATTTTTAAAATAAAAGAGCATATCATAGAAAAATTTACATAAACTTGTAATTTAAGTGGAACATGTAGACAAAAATAATTGATTGTTTTCTTTTATACAATATAGAGGGTGCGGACTACAGTAATTAGAACAGAATATTTAAGTTAGATAAACACTTTAATTGAAAAGAAATTAAAAATTAATTTTTTATTTGAATGAGTGAAAGCAAATTCCTATTATAATAATCTAAGTACCTAGATAAATATGGGAAATCGAGTTGTGGATGTTTATTACCTCGAAATCGAAAATTGTCGTTTACAACTCCAAACTTCGATTTTCTCAAAAATGTGTCAAAAATTGAGTTATACCAGTTTTCCCGTAAACAAGCGTTTTTTAAATCTGCTTTTTCAACATAGAAAATATAGAAATTTTCAAATTAACTCATCAAATTTTCATGTA